AAAAAAAAAAAAAAAAAAAAAAAGAAAGAAAGAAAGATAATACCACTTGAATACTTAAACACTAAAAACATATCCAAATGTTTAACTCAGTTTGGTCACTTCTTAATTTTGTTTAAGGCTCTCACTAACTTATTTGAATCATGATCCTGGCTGTATTCTTATTTTCTCATTTTTCTCAATGTTAGAGAATGGTAGAATTCCATGTTCTTCCTTCTTCCCAACTTGGTACCATAATAAATACACTCCTCCTCTCGCCAAATTCATGCCATTTATCAATTTCGCAAGTGTAACTACAAGAAGATTTCATTTTAATTTTATTCATTTTATTCTAGAAAGGAGACTGAAACTCTGGAGGGTTTATAAAAATATTTACAAAGCTATGAAATATGTGCTTAAGTAAGCGAATTTCACCAGTTCTTTTTATACTTTTCAAAATTTGAAGTGGAAAAATGTAATAACGTACTATATTCTCACAAAAAAAAATCCTATGAAAGGAAGAACTCAAAAATCTGTTCTCTAATCCTTTGCCCTGAGGTCACTGCTGTTCAGAGTTCTTTCCAGGTTTTTCTTAGACTTATTGTGAAACATGTACGTGCTTATCTTATAAAAATGGTATCAAGCACAGGTCTTGTCCCTCCTTGTCTGATACCTGGGGAGATTTGGGCAGGTGGAGAGACTGGCATTTGAGCACCTGATAAGGAAGTGGTTGGGGTTTGTGGCTCTGAGTTGGTTGATTTGCATTTGAAAGGTCTGCTAGCAGGAGAGTTGTTCACTTACTGTCTCTAAGAATTAGTGAACCCCGTGAGGCAGGAGCAAGGCCCTGGATGTCAAGACTTAAGAATACAGAAAATCAAAAGCACACAGTTAATACGCCCTCATACCTGCTTTTTTAATTTAAAGAAACACAGAGAATTTGCTTACATGTTTCAAGCTAACAAACATTTATTCGTGCGGCATAAATAATATATGAACAGACTTTTATGAGTAATATAACATCTGCAGCTCTTAGAAAATAAAACATAGTTAATTGGGAATGACATGAATTATGTAATCATTACTTTTATGTTTTGTTCTTTCTAGGGCATTCAAACTGTCACCTTCACATGAATGGCAATGAAAGTCTCATAAAGAAGCAGAAATACCCAGGAGGCATAAAGAGTCATCATGCTTCAAAAGTACATGTGTTAGGACTTCACGACCTCAGGAAAAGTAGACCCCATAACTCTTAAAAGCTCAACCTTGGAGAGGAGAAATATGCTATTTGTTGACACAGCCCTGAAACTTGTTGAAATGTCTTTGGAGCTTGAGATGTCGAGAGCCATCAAAATGTTCTCAAGAATTAAATGGAAAAATGTTTCTTCAAAATATCTTAGCCAACCAAATACAAACAGTTTTGTCATTGTGACAAAAAACTGGCCAATTGCCCTTGCTAGTCTCAGCACAGCCCAAGAGGCGCATCCTTCATTAGCCAACTGGAAAACCGTGTGCAGTCTACGCTTCTGACCAGATGGGCGTCTCTCGTCACCATAACATCCTGTAAACACTTTATTTATTATACTGACCATACTCTGTATTGCACTTGCATTGGTTATTTGTAAAGCTTTTCCTATTTCATCAATAGATTATCCTTAAATTTTAGCAACTGCATTTTAGTCACTCTGTATTTTTAATAGTGCCTACCTAAGTGCCATAAATATTAATAAGCATTTTTTCTGAATCAATAATCACCCCCAAAAATGTATAGCCATAGTTGTAAATACTGTACAATCCAAAGAAAAGTGGAAATTAATGAAGGACCAATTTTGAGGAAGACTTAGAGTTCTCAAAAATTCAGCAAGTATGTTCTTTAAGTTTTTAAAAATTTAACAAAGTCAACAAGTATGTCAACAAGTATTCAACAAGTTAGTTATAAACATTTGTTTATAACTTTACACATGGTTAATGCCTTCAGAGCAGTTAGTCAGCAGCAAGATTCTCATTTTTAAACCTTTACCCCTTTGTTCATTCTAAGGAAAGATGAAGAACATGTTGCTGTCAGAAAAATTGGTCCAGGAGTATGTGAGGAGCCATTAGGAAGGGAGAAACAGGGAAATGTGGACCCAAGCAGCATAGGGTTTCCCAGAAAACTGGGTTAGACACAAGGGTGTACATGCAGGAAAAAGTAAAACCAAGAAGGTGTGTTAATCTAAACAATGCTGTGAGCAAATGAGACTCAGTTCTCAGGGGACACTCTGAGAAACTGCACAGAATACGCCTCAAAATTGTCCACCAGAAGGACAAATGAGAGGAGAGATGAACCATTGGCTCTCTTGTACCATGGGTCATGTTGGTCCAGAAGGTGTACACGACCTTGCACTTTAAAGATTGCACCTGCTACAGAATGGCTGAATAGTTTGCAGAAGACATCTTCAGAGATGACAACAGAGAAGCAAGAGATAAGTGCTGCACCTGATGCAAGGTGCTGGCAGTGACAGTATCACAACACTGGTGTCTGTAAAAATGTGGCCAAGAGGATATGAGCTATAGCACAAGAGTAGTTCAACATCAACTCTCAGAAGCACATGAGTCTGATGCAAATCTATTGTTCTTGAAATAATAAGGACAGGACCTATTCATCCCTTCTAGACCGCAGTCAGAGAAAGGGGCACCTGTAGAGAGAAAAGATCTGGTGAAACTAGTTGGGGAGTGGAAGAAGCCAGGTGATATGATTTGGCTGTGTCCCAACCCAAAATCTCATTTTGAATTGTAATTCCCATGTGTTGGGGGTGGTACCTGGTGGGAGGTAATTTAATCATGTGGGCGGTTCCCTCATGCTGCTCTTAGGATGGTGAATGAGTTCTCACAAGATCTGATGGTTTTATAAGGGGCTTTTCCCCTTTTTGCTCTTCACTCCTTGCTGCAGCCATGTGAAGAAGGACGTGTTTGCTTCCCCTTCTGTCAAGATCCTAAGTTTCCTGAGAGCTACCCAGCCATGCTGAACTTAACTAAACCTCTTTACTTTATAAATTACTCATTCTGGGCTTGTCCTTATAGCAGAGTGAGAACAGACCAATATACCAGGGCACTGAAGAAGCCTAAGACCAGACTGCACCTCTCTGGGCTTTAAACATAGACCAACATCTGGATGAACGTTTTTCTTTTTCTTCTGTGCACATTTTTTGTATTTCACTGCTATTTTAAATTGCCAGCTCTGACAGAACAATGCCATCTCCCAGACACTTTTTATCTACACGTAAATTAAGTTACTTTATTGCTTTAGTTTCTCTGAGTTTTGTACATCTTGGGAAGAGCTCTCAGCTTCTCCTGCTTACAACCTTAGTTTAGGCTGCTCCAAAAGCCAATCCTGAGAAAAGGATGTAGATACAGGTATTTTATTTTTTTAGAGACAGGAGTCTTGCTATGTTGCCCAGGCTGGGCTAGAACTCCTGGCTTCAAGCAATCCTCCCACCTTAACCTCCTGAGTGTCTGGGACCACAGATGCATGTCACCATGCCCTGGGTAGTTTGAGAGGTGATCCCAAGAAGTGCAGCAAGGTAGTGAAGAGTGTAGTAGAAAAGGGAATGAAAGGTGTGTGCATGAGGTAGCAGGTTACTACCACCTCAGTCTTTCTGGGAGTGTGACCCACAGAGTGTTAGGGAAGCTGCGCTGTTTATGCACCAGCTCCAGTTTCTCATTGGTTGAACATTGCTGCTGCGGAAATTAAACCCATGGCACTTCTAGGCTGTCATGCATATAGGCAGAGCAAACTCCTCTAGTGCCAAGAAAGTCCCATAGGCAGAGAAGCAGGAAGAGAGGCATGGATGGTTGAGGTAGAAAGACATGGGTGTGTTGTACAGCTGCAGTGAATCCAGACATTTGGCTGAAGGATGTAGATTGGGGCATCAATAGCTTCTACTTTACATTCTGAGATTATTTTGCAAAGGGAAAAATCCTGAAACATGGAGAAACAATAGCAACAGCCTTCTTCTGGCATCTAGAAGGAAAGAAGATAAGTTAATTAGTAAAGGGTTAGAGGCAGTTAAAATGAATTCTGAAACTGAGACTATCTGTTGAACTTTGCAGACAAAAACTTTAAACTGAAATTGGATCCCCTTAATGAAAATCCCCTTTGCTGCTTCTGAAGAATAAATGAGGAAAGAAACCCACATGTTTATTGCTTTCACCTATAAACCAAGAACCTCGCTGAACTATGTTAAATAGTAACTGGCTCTGTTTCTGTGAAGACCACATGGGGACTGATGGGTATCGTAAAATTTTCTCTTACTAGTTATAGCTCTGGTTCATTACCAATGTGGAGCCACTTAAAGATGAGTGCTTTCTGATAGAAAAGTTGGATGACAAGATATGAAAATAGGTCTTAAATGCAGTGGATTTCACCAGGGCTAGAAGTGTGGGCAGAGCAAAGAGAGGCTAGTAAGGAAATACTCTCAGTGGTATCATAGATTTTAAAAATTCACCCCAATTCTTCATTTTCTCTTAATTAAATTATAAATGCATACCTCTGCCTCATGGACTGAGTGGACTGCCCCACCCCTTCTAGATTTGGCTTTGTAACTTGCTTTGGAAAAGAAGTTGTTAGTAGACATGGCATAACCTGTATGTTGGCTTTTCTTCTTGGCAATTGTGGTCATCCATGAGACAAACACGTCCCAGGGGCTGCTATGTCTCCTCCTTCTGTCTAGGCCCTGGAAGGAAATGTAGAGTGAACTGAAACCCATCACAGCCAAGAGCTTCAGTCTTGGAACATAAATATGGAAATAAAGATGCCCAATCAAGCATATTGTAAATCAGTCAATAGCAGTCAACTCAGGAACCCAAGTATGAGAGTAGATGCTGATTATTGTAACCACTAAATTTGTGGGTGAATCTGTGAGGTAGCATTATAGCTGAAATAGTTGGCTGATGTTAAGTGGTAGATTTTTTTTCTTGTCTGTAGTTAGGGTGATAACCATAACAGGGGAATAAAGACTCTTGCTAAGATCAAGGATTTAACTGAGGAAACTAAAAAAACACGAAATGATTAGGAAAGAGCCAATGGGAAGAGCTCCCTGGAGGGAATCTGTAGAGAATTCTGGGTCAAGTGACTACTGCCCCAGAGACAAAATTCTGCCTCCTCTCCAGTGATTGTGGATGATCTGAGCAGGTGAAGATGATAGAGCTCTCCAAAATAATGTTCGTCTGTATTTATTATTTTATGTTTTTTATAATTAAACATTACAGAATGTTTGCAAATACTTAACACTCGGGTTTCTAATAGGTGAGCTTTCCTGAGTATATGGGGGAGGTTCTCAAGTGAAAAAATATTTTGATACTATTTAAAATACCTAAACAAATCAGAGCTCCTTTATGCTGATGCATCGCTGAAGAAAAACTTATTCCAAATAGTTGTACTATGAAGATAATATGTATGTAACATTGTACTGACCTTTTGGAGAGAGAAGGATATGACTTCAAATCTTTTCAAGTACAATAGAAAACTATTTAAATAATAAAGATTTAGGAGAGTCATATAAGTGCTTTTGAATGTTTGCTTATTGATTTTAAACATACTTTAAATTAGAAAATCAACATTATTATTATTTTTGAGACAGAGCCTTGCTCTGTCACCCAGGCTAGAGGCCAGTGGCATGACCTCGGCTCACTGCAACCTCCACCACCTGGATTCAAGCAATTTTTCTGCCTCAGCCTCCTGAGTAGCTGGGACTACAGGTGCCCACCACCATGCCCTGCTAACTTTTTTGTATTTTTAGTAGAGATGGGGTTTTGACATGTTGGCCAGGCTGGTCTCGAACTCCTGACCTCAGGTGATCTGCCTGCCTTGGCCTCCCAAAGTGCTAGGATTATAGGAGTGAGCCACTGTGCACAGCTTAGAAAATTAACATTATTGAAGAACTTGAAATGAAAGTCAAAGACCTAGGCTTTGCACCCCCATATTTCCTAATTTGATAGCAAGCCTTACTGGTTTGTGGGGAGGGATTTCTGTCAAAATTTTAATGAATAAATAATCCCTTTGACATTTATAATCCATTCCAGAACATTAAAAAGATGAAAACCTTCCTAAATAATTACATGAGGCTTGAAGAATGCTAATAACATGCCCAATAAAGATAGCAGCAGTAAAGAGAATAGACATCAAGTGCAATGCAAATAAAAATAATGAATAAAATATTTTCAAATTTACTGTAGCAACATCTTAAAGTATTAATAATGCATGGCAATCAAGGAAGGTTTATTTTAGAAATACAAGAATGTTGTAGTAATAGGAAATGCATGTATGCTTAAAGCGTTGTATTAAAAGAATAAATAAGCAAACCATATACAACCTCAACAGTTGTTGGAAAAGTATTTGACAGACTATATTAGCCACCCCTATCTAAAAAATGAAAAACTCTCAGGGAATTGGGTAAAAGAGGACATTTCCTGAATTTGACAGATTGTCTTCAGGAAAACTTTCAAATACCAATAATAAAATGTTAGACATATTCCTATTAAAATCAGACACAAGGCAATAATGCCACAAAATCCTCATTATTCAAAATACTCCTGAGGGTCCTATAAAAAAGAGATAAAAACATTGATAAATACTAAAAAAAAATTCAATCCTTTCACATTAAAATTGAAAATAATGAAATTAAAACACATTCAAGAAACAAGAGATTTGCAAAGTGTCTAGAAATAACACATACAAAAACCATAGACTTTTCAATATAATGATGAGACATCAATAAAAAGATTCCCTTCAAAATATAACAAAAGCATAATATCCGTTTCCCCACAAAATCTTAAAGTTATTAAACAGTCACATTTAAGGTCAGAAAAATAAACCTAAACATAAGAAAGTGAGTAACATGGCTTGAATTGGGCAGCCTCAAATTTATAAGTGTTAATTTTTTTCTTAAATTAATCTACCTTTTCAGCATTATTCCTATTAAAACTCTAAGGGTAATTTTAAATGAAGCTATTCTAGTGATTCAAAATGTTATCTCTAAGAGTGAATGCACAAGAACAGCCAGAAATATTGTAATACAGATAGCATTTATATGAGTAGGAAAGGAATAAATAAATGATATTTAAATATGTGGTACATACCATTATTATTCCATTTACACTTTACACAGTTGAGGAAACAGAACTATAGGGAAGTTAAATAGCCTGCCAAAGGTCACATAGCTGCAAAGTGGTGAAACCAAGATGCAAACTCAGAGCCAATGCTATCCACTTACCTACCAGCAGGCTACACTGCCTCTGGCAAAAATATGTATGTATGAATACATATATTGGACAAAGGGTTGGCATCCATCACATTCAAAGAGTTCCCATCAATCAATACGAAAAATAACTCTATAGAAATAAAAATGGAAATAGTGTCTATAAGCAATTTTCAAAAGAATAAAAAAATGATGAGTAAATGTATGAAAAAATGTTCAAACTTACAATCAGGGAAATGCAATTTAAAAATAACAACAAACATTTTAAAGTTTACAAAAATTTTAAAAGCACTCTGATATTTAATGTTTAATGAGGAAGTAGGAAAATAGCTTTCTACTCCACAATGTTGAAAATTAATTTGGCATTACCAGTCAAATTAAAAATAAACTTTAACTTAGACATTAGCCTACTAAAATACTCACTTTTATGCAAAAGTACATGTAAAAATGATTTTTATTTCTAAAAGTGACCAATGGAAATAACCTCAATCAATAGAATGGAATATTACGCAGTCACAAAATTAAACAAATATTGACATGGAAAAAATGTCAATTTGAAGTTATAAAATTTTTTAAAAGCACATGTAAAAAAATTACATATAATGAAATCCTCTTTTCTATTTTATATGCATGGATGTGTGCACATGTGTGTGAATCTACTTCTAAATGCATTGTAAAAGTTCTCCATGAATACCAAAGTATTCATAGAGAATTCTTTGAGTACTCTCTATGTGAGAGTATTCTTTGAGTACTCTCATTTATTTGTATGCGTGTGTGTGTATATGTATACACACATATATATATTCTTATTATACCAAAATATTATCCACAGAGAAGAGAAATCAGAAAAGAAAAAAGGTTTCAATGAAGAGTGAAGATGGACTTTTATTTTAGAAAAGAGAAAAGATTTCAATGAAAAATGAAAATGGGCTTTTACTTTTACTCTATATATTTCTATAAGTTTTGAATTTTTAAAATAACAATATATTACTTGTATAATTTATCAAAGGAAAATAAATCTGACAAAAGTTGTTTCCACAAATGAAAAGAGTTCATGAAACAAAAATGTTATGTTTGATCAATATTTAACTATCAAATTACCATTTATAGATTCTGGTAACTATTATCATCAATTAATATCTTGCTACTCAAAGTGAGGTCCTTGGACCAGCAGCAACAGCATTATCTGGGAGCTACTTAGAAATGCAGAATGGCAGGTCCCCACCTCAAACTAGCAGAATTTGGAATTTAATAAGATCTCCAGGTGATTCTTATGCACATTCAAGTTGTGAGACATGCTCTAAATATTAAGCATTTTTTCTTCTCCTTCAATCACTGACAAAGAAACCATTTAAAAAGTAAAATATTATCTCATTAAATTTATTTTTTAACATATGAAAAAATACTAGGAAGTGTTTTCAAATATCAAAGATAATATGTGTAGATAATCCTTTCATGATATTAAACAATATTTTAAAATGTTCAAATGTTAAACACAAAATTAGAATTTTTCCATAATTTGGGAAGCAGGACAAATGAGTTTTTAAAAAAATTACGTATTTTAAGAAGGGCAAGGTGATCTTTGCAGATTGTAGTTTTCCCTCTTGCATCTAAAATCAGTATGTTTCTGCTTCCTGAATAAAAAGCCAACCAAGCGCCAGCTGTCTGGATTTCCCCATCCCCAGGTGAACTTACACAGTGCATCAAGAAACAATATGGAGAATTAGACACATGGTTCATACCCCATGACCAGACACTCTACAGAAGGTTCAGCTTCCTGCTTTCACACAAAAATCAAGTTTATCCCCTTCACACCTTCACAACCTCTCACATGAATCTCGCCCAAATTCCTGCTTAGCATTCCCGAAAGGAAGACGTCCGCTGGACCAGGTGTGACTTCACCTTTAATTATTCTGTACTGCATCTGCATGTGGTTTTCCTCATTATGCTGCCATTAACATGAGGAAAGGGCTTCTGTTGCCTGAGCAACCAGAACTAGCACGTGCACATGCCTACTGACTGCAACCCTACTTGTAGTTTTTCTATTATATGTTTGGATTGTCTCACTTTTATGGTGAAAAGAATGCAATTCTTTCCCCAATTCTGCCCTTTTTCTTCTTTTAGGCTCTCTCTACAGTGTCTGGCTGATTTGTCTAATTTCTCTTGAATATATTACCTTAACTTCTCTTGTTGTCATGAGATTACACTGATCCTTACCATCCTCCTAATCAGACTCTCCCTTTGAATTGCTCCTCTGCTAAAGACAGCCGTCTCAATATTTTGCTTACCTTTTACATGGGTCGCTCTAAAATATTATATTCGCCATAAAATTGATTCAATTTGCAAAGATTCCTTATCTATCCTTATTTCCTTCCTTTTTACTCTTGCTGTAGTTATTTTACTACTGAAATACAAGGCTAATAGAAAAATGATAACCGCTATTACTGTAATTCCTGGTAGTGAGTCACATAAAAATATTATATGCACAATCTCTTTTTCTAAAGTGGTGGTTCTTAACCTTGGCTGGATGTTAGAATCTTATGGGTAGGTCTAATAAATACTAATGCTTGGATTCCATCCACAGAGATTCTGATGTAATTAGTCTGGGGTTCTGCCTGGGCAGAGAATTTTCGAAACCTTTCTAGATGATTCTAACGTGCAACCAAAGTTGGGAAGCATGAAGGCTAGTAGATTTTCAAGCTAGCCCTTTCCATTTTGTTATTCCTTGGCATTTATGATGGTAAATGCACACTTCCCTTAAGGGTCTTATGCCAGTTTTTCCTATTTGCTCTCTAAACCATTATTCTTTCCTTGCTGTGGGTCATGCATTTTGGGGGGCGGATACCCATAGGCTGTTTCCCAGGCTCAGGAGATAGCTGTTCCCAAAGAGCTTCGCCCAATATCCAGTGGGAGGCTCTTCCAGGAACCTGGAGGGTGGGAGAAATGGTGTCTCTTCCTCTTTCTGTGTGGTGGCTCTAGCTGTGTCCTCCTGGGCCTCTACTTCCTGCCAGACAGACTTACTGTGG